TTTATTCGCAGAACATTCGACAAGGGCCGGGTTTAGCTGCTTGCTAATGGCGCAGACACTCAGACAGCCAGCCGCTGAGATACCAGCCTATACAGCAGGGCCAGGTAGAGCTATTGATGGCCAGTATAGCTGCTAATGGCGCCGCCCGCCGGCCGCGCAGCCGTGACGCTCCGGCCGCAGGAATGGCGCGGCACCCTACGCCGGCCGGCAGTATACGACCCACTATCGAATTTATCACGGACATCCATTGCACCAGGTGGTTATTAGTCACCCCGACTTGTGTCTAGCATATACATTCCAGATAAACATTCCATTATGTCCTGTTGGCGTGTTTGGCGGTTATGGTAAGACGCCCGCAAGGAGGATGAGCACACGCGACGGGAACGTACGGCCTTTAACAGCCAAAAGGTGAGGTTCGTAAGCAATGATGGAGCGAACGAGTGGAACGCGCACTAATCAGCGATAGGGTATCCTATTGTGGGATTAGTGGCGCGACACGAGATAGCTACAGGGCGACACGTGAGACGGAGATAGTGGCACTGTATGCAGGTGTGAGGGGGGACACTGTCAGTTTGGGCGCAGTGGGGATGGGAGGGGGCGGGAAGAGGGGAGGGCGGTGTGTGCGTAGGGATAGCGAGTGAACGATGTTTACGAGGGACGGGCGCGGGAGACGGTGACGGGAGGGGGCTGACCAGTGTGAGCAGCGACGGCCATGGTGACGGACGTAGAGTGAAAATGGTCATCATTTCCCCGCCCGCCATCCCCAGCTTCCCCCCTTTTGACCTAAATCCTACCTCTCCTGTCGTCGTTTCCCTTAGCGTGTTTGCTGCGGGCGGCGGTTATGGTAAGACGCCCGCAAGGAGGATGAGCACACGCGACGGGAACGTACGGCCTTTAACAGCCAAAAGGTGAGGTTCGTAAGCAATGATGGAGCGAACGAGTGGAACGCGCACTAATCAGCGATAGGGTATCCTATCGAATTTATCACGGACATCCATTGCACCAGGTGGTTATTAGTCACCCCGCAGCCGGCGGCTATCACTCGAGAGGATCTTCTTGGTACGGGTACTCGCGGTACCGAGAGCCGTGGTATCCTTCCGTACCTCGGGTGAGAGGTACCGACGCGATGGTGAGATGTTATCCACAAAGCGGACTGGTACTACATGAGTAGGACTGAGCAGTGCATGGGTGAGCATCCAGGCAATTGTAGCCGCCGGTATAGTGCTTCAGAAGTACCGAACTATAAACCATGTAGGACTTTTAGGTGCCCTGTTATGCAGTAAACCGGAGGTAAGGTATAGAGCCGACGCTGGCTTCGAGGGCGGGCGCAGCAGTGGCGCAGCACCGTAGGGAAGCCGCTGCCGAACCGACCTTCGTTCGACCCCCTCAACTGACCACCGAGGCCGTCTCAAACGACCGACGGTACCCGGTTAGTCACCGGCCCGAGCCCCGCCATCGCACTTCAGTACAAAGACCCTCGCACGATCACACAAAGGCACTTCTGGGGACCCGGCTCGGGGGAAGCCGTAGACTCATCCACAGTTGCTGTTATTGGGAACATTAAGTTTAATAGATGGTCTAGAGAACGTTTATAATTGCGAAATGTCCCACCACTTGGATGTCATTGACGATAAAAAATTGCACCAATATGTAGTGCATCAACATAATGCAGCATATTTTATCCTGCATGAACTATAGGTAAAGGTGAGATAAGCGGGAACGGAAATTATTTAGCTTATAGTTCAGATCGGTGAGTCCGGTGGCTAGATATGAGTGGGTGACGTGGCCTTGCTGAGAGGGCCATCGTATAGAGTCAATGGCGAGTAGTCACCGATGACAAGTGACCGGTCACTGACGGAAAAGTAAGGGACTACGAGTATGTGATTGGTGACTGCAGCGGCGCGACCATTGGTATTCCCTGGTGATATTGTGGCTCGCGGAGCGCCCGGCGTCTCTCCGATCTCCCAAGTCCCAGATAAATCAGCGCGATAGCCGCGTGGAATGGCAGGGCTAACGAGCTGGCCCAGAGGCCATCCCGGAGACACTGAACTGGGCTGGACCGGGTGCGAGCCGGGTGCCAGTGCACGTGGCAGCGACTCCTGTACTTACAGTTACACAGAATAAAGGCCTGCCAGCACTCGATGCCAGCGTTCCACAGACCGGTGAGGCCAGTTCGGACAAAAGGAAAATGCCCGGCTTTACCATCACTGTGGCATATACCTAATACCTATGGTGTGAAATTTTATGGATAAAAAAAGCTGCTAAAATGCTTTAAAAAAGACGACGTCCTTCACGAATTTCCTTGCTAATTGGGTGAATCGCTGTGGCGATCCAGACAGTTGCCTTCCTCTCGGTGTTTTGCGGCAGCAAATTGATTACGAGCATAAACGTGTCGCTAACCGGGTAATATTACAGATTGGCATTCAAAACAAGGTAAATGCACAAGGAAAATGACGAAATGCCTCTAAACGGAAATAACCCGAGGATACCTCACAATCCTCAATTAATTTTCAAGACAACAGCTTTAACTACCAGGAAGACATAATAGCCCATCTGAAGAGTAAAGAATGGCCTAAGTTATTGAGAAAACAAAACTCAAATTTAAAGAACTATGTGTGGCGTGCAAACCGTTTTAACCAATCAACAGCTATTTTACTCGATTAACAATCGATCAGCTACAGGTCTTCCTAATTCCTTGTCTCATCGTGAGACAAGAATTCTTTGAACAATGACGCTCCGAACTTTGTTCCCGATGACGATCACCTGTCAGTGACCGGTGGCCAATGCAGCCTACAATAGCTTAAAGGGGAGTGCATTCAAAGAACTATAAGCAGTTAATCACGATCTATAAGTGCAACGCCGGCTCCATTCTTACTCTATGTGTTCTCATCACGGGCCAAGCAAGGGAGTAAACGTTCATAATAACTCAAAATGAATGACCTTTTCCTCGAATATAGAAAGTTTAAATGTCGAAAATGATGTATTTAGGTTAATTTTCGCCCACAGGGCATCATCCTTTTCGACCTTTTCGAGGAAAAGGTCATTCATTTTGAGTTATTATAACAATATGTTCCTCGCAAGAGCACTCAACACCATATCTTCAATCACCAGAGTGAACGTTCAATTCGAATGCCTTTCTCTAGCGTACCTAATGTGGAAAACCAGAACAGCAAGCTAGTCATTGCAGGCTAATCAGCCGCTTTTGTATTCAGATCGAACAATCTACCGGGTCTCCATATGTAAGTAGTCAATCTTCTTCAGGGACAGCGTGATATCGGATGAAGATAAATGCTTTCGAGCATTGTTAATTGTCCGAGATGTCGCAACTAAGCGCGATTGTTATATACGTTCTAGTTCAATTGTCAAAATTTCCCCGGACTATAAGTGACCAAACGCCTGCCGCTGCGCCCTGAATTTAGGACGATTGTGTCCGTCACAGTTCGCGCGGCTCCGGTCACCCGTGTCCACAGGCCACTGTGTCCTCCGACCATCGGCGATCCTTCGACCACAGAACTGATCACCAATGCCACTGTCATCTGACTGCATGATCGTATAAACCCTCTGATAACAGGACTGGCCAGCAGTCATCGCTGTCCTCCGTGTATCTGAGTCATTTGCGTCCCCTGACGGCTGACCATTGCAACGGTCACTTACGTGTTCCGTTCCATGACCATTGCAACGCTCGGCGGGCACCAATCGCCGATTTGTCCCACGTCCATAGTCACTTCATATATCACGTGTATTTTTTTTCAATGCGCCGGTTTTACACCGGGTCCAGTCATGGATAGTGTAGTGTACAATAGTACAATAGAGTTGGTACCAACTCCGACCATCCACGGTCGTGAGTCCTCGCATGAGTATATTATGCATGGACCATAAAAGAACGCATTGGGTGCATAAAGAGACATCTACCGTCCAATAGATGAAGCTGCAGTTGGCATTATCCAACTTGTGCACGCAGATGGCGGGACCAATCACACAGCGACAAAAGGCGCATCATGAACGAAAAACGATATGCACGGAGACGGACGTCCGACGTCAGTCAGCTTTGGTACTTTATTACATTGTTTATTTAAATAAGGGAGTTATTTTGACACCAACAATGCCACGCCACGGACGAATTACCTCAGGGCGAAACTGATCCGCGCTCCGTCTCGGCTGGTCGCCTCCAGACCCGACGGCCGACTGATGCCGATATTGTGATAACGTCTGCAGCCCACCCGGGTCTCTGCCGACGTCTCTCGTATGTCACCGGGCGATCGGCGCTGCAGGGCACGCCGAGCGGGCGAGACCAGCGGGAGGGCCGCTGACGACCCTGGGACGACGTACAGCGACGCCAGAACCGACCAACGGCGCCGCTGGACCGATGGACGGTGACCGAAACCGTTTAACGACGCTGGGACCGACCAACGTGCTCTAGCTAGATAGGGACAAGCCAACGTCCAACACCCTCCGACGACACAGAGACCGACAGATGTAATGTAACGACGCTAGGATGCCGTCTTCCGGCTAAATAGCACCGCAGGAACTCGTTTATGAGTGTCATAAGTATAACGTTAAATATTCACCGACACTGGGCATGTCTTTTTGCCGTTTACCTGCGAAATCAATTGACATTCGATCCATACAGCAATGGTGTCACGTCCAAAATAGCAAATGCTCGGGCAGTGCATCACTAAACCCAGAATGGAAACGCTCCCGCGAGGTAGAGAAAAATCAAAACAATATAACAACATAATAAAAATGTTGATTTAAACTGAGTAAGCAAGACTTGATAATCAAGCATGTTTCTTCTTAGCCGGTTTTGATTTCAGGGCGGTCCGTCTTAACTACACGTTAAAGAACACCGTACAATCTTTCTCATAAGAATGGGTTAATTCTTTGCTTGTGAGGTTGAAAAGAAGTCTTACTTCAGACAAACAACATCAGAAAATCAGAACATCGAAACGGCTGGTTGCAGCCCTCCTGGCCGCCGACAGCGGAGGTCGGGATCGACTCACCTCTGTAGCCGTTGTACCGGGTCGCATTCTGCATGGTGAAGAACGTCGCCGACACCGTCTGCACCAACAGCAGCGCGAGCCACACAGCCACAGCGACAGCCGCTGACATCGTCACACCGCTGGGGTAGCTACTACAGCAGCACCAGCTTCGTTACCACGACCAGCACCAGCTTCAGCACCATCAGTAGCTCCACGTCCAGCTCTGCGAGCGGCACAGGCACGTCAACTGCGTCAACTTGTCGGCAGCGGTCTTTGGCGATCGTACAGGCCTTGGTGTCTCTTATCGGCGCTGAGGCACCGAGAGTTTCTAGTCGTTTACGCTGCACTGGCATACGCACGTCGAGGCACCAGGCACCATCTCAGCTGTCCGCAATTTCCAACACTGCTGGGCGCCAGCTGTACTTACAGCCTACAGAAGCACGCGGCCCTGTCAACACAACTGATCACTCTCCTCCATATCGCCCTCAGACCAGTATCTCCTTCACAGCAGCGACGCACAAGTCTCCTCCGAGCACCACTCCAGGGCCTGATGCAATGACATGCGTCACCGCCGCCGGCTACAACAGGAAACCCGTCGCCAGTTACGAGCCGGGAGTCCCTGCGAGACGGAACGTCGATCGTGTGAGTTACGTTCTGGCGCCGTACGACGGGAAATTGCCCTGGTCACTGGTCAGTGGTCGAGACCCGCACCGGTATCGGCGCTGGTCGCAGGCTCACTCTCAGCTCATTATACCGAGCTCTTTTCCTCGCCCTGGCTGATCACAGGAATGGTAGTTTGAGAGTTCATTTGACTGAGTGACACCATGACCTTGAGGTGCAGGCTCGCATTACACTCGATCGACACACGGTAACTCCAGTTGGTTCGAGAAGTGGCTTCTCTTGACAATGATCCAAGGCTGTCCGGAACTCGGAAGCTTTTCTGACCTGGGCTGTCCTACCGCTCAGCTCACACCAAACGTAAGCACACGCCGTTATCACTTCTGATAGAATACGTGTCTTCTAACAGCGTCTACTCACGTGTCTTCTCACAGGTGTCTTCTTGAAGACTGCCTTCCATAATTGAAGATAAGACGATTCACTGAGCAGGGAATACTTTCGACCACCATGAACCACCACTGAGAATTCAAACGACGCACTGATGCAGTGTAGCTCTCTGCGCGGTAATGGCACGCAGCAGCCACCGCCCGCGGCGCGTCGGTCGTGATCGGCCGAGCTGCCGCGGGTCCGCCGCGCCGGCCGCGCCGCCCGGGGCAGGAGCGGTGCCAGGACGGCGGCTGGGGGTGTCACCCGACCAGCCCCTGCGGCCACTCCACCGTCGTCGTCTGGCACCGCCCATTCGTTCTCCACCTCCGGGGCTCCGGTAACAGTTAGCTGAGACGGGGGGGGGGGGGGGAGGAGGAGCTATCCCGACTGATCGCACTAACAACGGAGTGATCTCACTTCAGGCGACGACCGTCGATGAGTGTAGAAGAACAGAGCGCGTAAAATCGCATCAATTTGTGGTCATTCACATCACACATTCGAAAGAACCGCCAGCGACCGTATTTTCTGGGGAGCATAATTTCACGCACATATGTTCAATTTTGATCATGATCGATGCCTAGCATTGGCATTCCAGAATCAGATCTTCCTGGTTTCATCAGCCTTAAGTCCACCGGGACTGCTCAACTAACAGAGTAAGACGGTTCGATGGGAACAGTCACCCCACTCAAAGCCAAAGGTTGTCCCCGCGCCGACGGCCGACCCTCGGCCCGGCTTGTGCTCTGCAGGGCGTCACTTTGGGCCGGAGTAACCAGCCGAGATTGACGGTCATCTGCGCCCATTCGGCGGCTCTGCTTTGCTCTGCAGTTGCCGACTCCCCAATTGGGGCTGAGGGCCGCCGCGCCGGTCTGCTGAGGGCCGTGCGTCACCCTCGGTAACAGCGGGGTAACGAGGCGAGTGCACTGACGCTGTGACACACGAACGACCGTACCGACACACTGACACACCGGCCCGACGCTGTCCCGACTCCCGACATGAGTACCGTCCCCGAACAGACACAATGTACCGGCACTAGTCCGCTGTACTTTTACTTTTTACTGTCGATATCGCGAACTAAATGGGCTACAGCATCTCATGATTTCTACAAGGTTGCTTCTGTTGCTATGTGTTAATGATTATTTGCCTTGTGTGATGTTTATTGTTTGCTTGTTTGTTTGTTTGTTGGGGTTAGGGGCGCGCCGACTGCGAGGTCATTTTGCGCCCATTGCCTTGTGTCAATTTGCCTTGTGTGTTAATAATTATGCACGATAGATACTACATAAGTTGTTTGCTGTTTATTGAGGAATGACGCATGTGCACAGAAATAGTGACAGACCGCTATTCGAACTCAGTCGTTTAATATACCGAATTCTCAACACAAACGTTTCAACTGACTGTGGTAGAGTTTAAGCGACTTATGAATAAAGGCGAAGACACCCAGAAACCATTGTTACTTCATGCTTGAGCAATGTCTTGAAATCTATATAAGAAACGCTGATTTCACAAAAATTATGGGAAATGGACATATCTATGAAAACCGAAGGAGACACACACCGCAACACTATAGCCACAAACAAACGAATCCTCATCTAAAAGTTCAGACTCACATCTGCCGACCACGTTCATCAACGCAGATGCCCCTATCACCCGGTTGTACTGACTATATGTTACACAATATCCGCTCTAGACATCTATACGTTATTTCACCGCGGGCGAAGCACACGAGACATGCATTAGGAGTCCTGAGTGAAAGCTATAGAGAAAACAAACATCACGCTCTACATTCGATCGTTGCATTCATCCTTCAAACGGTTACAAGGTAGCGTCTATAAGGAATGGTTATGGTGACTCGACATTACACGATCAGATACAAAACGAAAAAAGCTTACGAAAACATATACATGAGCTATTGTTTTAAGGAATGCCTAACGCATTCCTTACAACATCCTATGATAATTTTTTTACTTAATGGCATCTCAATCGTTTCAGTAACAATACTTATAAGCTAAAAATTATCAATGCACAATGGCACATACACAAATGTTAGCATAGACCACTATAAGAATACTAGGCGTTGTAAAAGTGAAGAGAAAATAGCACCTGAAAAAAGACTGAAAGAAAATAGCACCACATAACTAAATGACTAAACATAACCACAAGGTAAAGCCAAGGGAAAATATCATGTTAAAAGGCACTACCCTCAACCGACGCACAACCAACGTATCGGCACACCTAACACTGGTTCACACACGGGCCTTGATTGTCTGCTCTATCAGATCCAAACACAGAGTAACCCGTTGACACCCGTCGGCCATCTTGTGCGGCGAAAACTTCCTCAAATGCAGCGGAGCCACGGACCTCCGTCGACGATATCGAGTTATGGGCTCCCAGTTTCCAGCGGGCGATATAAAGTCACCGGCCCCAGTGGATGATATCGCTCACAGATTCCAGTGGACGATATCGCTTACAGATTCCAGTGGACGATATCGCTCACAGATTCCAGTGGACGATATCAACTTTCCGGTCCCAGCGGGCGATGTCACGCCACATATCCCAATGAACGATATAAGCTTATGAACGTTAGCGATGATACCAACTTACAGAAACACTGATCGGCCCCGGATTATCTATCTCACGACCCCGACATCTCACCGGCCGCTCGAGTAGTAGGTCCGCACCTCCTCAGAGATCTGAGGCAGCGTGTCTTCGTTCAGGTCGACGAACCGCTTCTGCTGTCGGGAGAAGTAGTGGATGTTACCCGTGTAGATGTCAAACCACAGAGCGTGGATGTGGATCTCTCCGCGGGTCAGCCCGCGCTTCAGCATGCCGTACGAGCTGACGTTCTGCAGCTGCTGCAGCGTGTTCACCTGCGGAGAGACGAAAATGTAGGTGAGGTTTTTCGGTGTTTTGCGTCGACGATGTCAAGCGCTTTGAATATTTGATCACTTTTTGATGTATCCACTTTTTGTGCCTCAGTATTCTTCCGGCTTGGAATTATACGGTTGTGAATTGTGATGTTGTGCAACCTACTTATGATAGGGATGCCTGTTTTGTTGTTTGATTATTTGTTGCCTGAAAAATATTCTTGGATGATATTTTGCAATGACGCACTTGCTTTCGGAATCGCATAGAACGAGGAACACAAAATTGGAAACACGGTAGAGAACACTCGAATACCGATAAAGAGTATGCGTTTATCCCGTCTCCAAAACTAAGGCAGCCGTCTAATGCAGTGCAGTTCCAACACATTGCAGCGAACAGACGACACTATAAGCTAAAGAAGACGCCGGCGGAGACGGCACCCACCTGGGACAGTTTGTCGGTGATGCTGAACTGGTTCTCGGGGTCGATATAGGCCACGAAACGGCGCATCGGGAGCTCGCCCTCAAACACCAGCGGCGCCTTGAAGTCGGAGACCTTGAGCTGCATCAGCTTGGTGAGGCTGCCGGAGCCGTGGCGGCACACCCAGGCGGAGAGGGGCGACATGTGCAGCTTCTCCGGCGTGGCCAGCGCCGGGTCCCGCAGGTCGTACAGCAGGTTCATCGCCTGCGGATATTGACCGGTCAGAAATGAAGATACAGGTGAAAAATATAGATCGAAGGTAGTAAACACAGAGACGTGTGCTAAAATTGACGGCCCATTTGCCGGCAGATGCGCCCGCCGCCCACCCAACGACAGACGACACCGGTCTAACAGGCGGTACCTCGTCCCCCGCCTTCCGGTGCTCGGAGTACTCTGGTAAAGAGGTGCCTGTCTATCAGGAGAGAAGCACTCACCATGGATAAGGTATTCCTGGATGGGACACTCCGCCGATTTTCCGACCACGCACGACGGCGAGGGCGTAGGCGCCATTTAGCATTGCGTGCTATGGGCGGATCGTGTCTAATGGTTCCGTATGTGATAGTGACTAAATGGAGCCATAATAATTATTAGAAAGGACTAAAAATATATTTTAAGTGTCTGAAATCGTGTCTTACGAGCTATCCATTCCCACGTTTTCAGCACGCACGCCGGTGCGGCCCGGTGCACTCGCCACCGATGTTTCGGCGCTCCGCCACCAGGACGGCCGCTTGGTCGCCGGCGCTAGGGTTGGAGAATAGGGAGTGTCCTATCCAGGAATACTTCATCCATGCACTCACCTTGCAGTCCGAGTGACCGCAGATGATGACATTTTTGATGCCGTTGACGATGCAGCCTAGCTCGAGGGCGGCCGGCTCTGTGGAGACCGTCTCGGTATCGTACAATTTGGCGTGCGGCACCAGGTTACCGGCGTTTCGGACTGTCAAACACAGAACAAATACAGAACGCTGATCGCAGAACGGGCACAGTACATCAACTGATGAAAAAGCTAGTTGCAGTACACATTATATCTTTTGTGGTGAATCAATCTATAAAATGGATGACTAACATTTAACATTTATGGAAGACTGATGTTATTGATTGATTGATATGACCTTAACTATGGAATTAAATTCATTAACTATGTAACAATGACTGAAACAACTCACCGATGAACATATCACCCACGTTTGTATATGTAAAGCGGGTTGGCAACATCCTACTGTCCATACATGTGAAGAAGATTGCCTTTGGCTGAAAACAGGAATGAAGAAGCAGCATTAACTTTTGATAAAGTATCAACTCACAAAAAATACATGCACAGAATAGAGGCCAGGCTAAAAGATGAGAGCCATAAATCACTGCAGCTAAAAAAATGAATGATCACTCAATATTAATAACACAGAATAGTAGATTTGAGATTGAGTCACAGCAGAAACGATTGAAATTACACATCTATATACAGCTGACCAGAGCCCTGATCGGCGGCCGGCTAGTACTCTTGCCCGCGCTCACATACGTGCACGTTACCCCGGCAACGGGCTATTGACCAATGAGAAGCGAGAAAAGTGTTACGTCACTGCGATTTTTCATATACCTGTGCCCCCCGGACGTGACGTAGTGTGCTCGCGCGCGTGCAGGGTCTCTGCGATCGAAAAAGAGCGCTAGCAGCGCGCCACTCGACGCCGCAATTGTCAAAAGCGGCGTGTTAGTATACTTTATTATGAATGATGTGTGTAAAAGTGAGTTTTTATGTTGTTTATTTGGAGGAAATGGTTGGAATAAATTAAGTAATTTTTATTTCTGTTGATTGGAGTTTTTATTCAAAAGATTTCGGTCTATACCATTTATATTTACTGAAAATACCTTCGCTTCAATAAATTGCAGATATTTAGCAACTGAAGTGTTAGGTAAGCCTAAATGATATGTGAAAAGGTAAGAGACACCCTGATTATCATTTGAGAAACGAAAATATATGAATTTTCCTTATAAGACTCGCTCAATATGCTACTCCGCGGTTTATGCCCCGAGGGTGTCCGAGGGTTCCCGTTAGTTTGTCGTTGGCGCTCGGCTCGCGCGCGAGCCGATGTCACCGCCTGTGACGTCGGCTCGCGAAATACGTCATACCCTGCACACAAAATAGCCGGCTGCCGAACAGCGCTCAGAAAAATTACAGTTGACAAGGAGGTAAGATAGTCTTATCTGAGAGCTGATACCAAGTGATTAGTAAGGTAGGAACTAGGAAGGAAGGTAGGTACATGATTACTGGAAGACTGCAAAATGATAAATGGTTATTGCCACAGTGACTATAAATTGCCTTGGCTTTGGCAGTACGTCAAATGCTTATTGACACCTATTTTATTATTAAATCAGTTCCACTTTGAAATGACAGGCTCTTCCAATCAAGAAATGGCTAGAATCTGAAATGAATTATTAAGTTTTCAAGGTTAGCAGGATAGGTTGGTATAGGAAATAACGTATTTTCTCAAGTAAAGTACTTACAACAGGGTTATCCTTGACTTGCTGAAACTGTTCAACCATACCAGGTCTAAATGTGTGGCGGTACTTCAGAATACCTTTAAGTATTTTATCCATGATAACTGAAACAAAAAAAAAACTGAGGTAATGCAAATAAGTGGGCTACATCCAGCTTATGGTCACGCTTATGCCATAGTGTTTCATTGGTAAAATGATTAGATCATCTTGCTCATAATTATTTATGTTAAGCAAAACAGCCTAGTATATTGCTGTAATAGTTCCTACTGCACGCAAAAAGCAGAATTTTTTGTGGGCAGAGCTTATGAAACCCCAATCATGATAAATTCACTTCCATTTCTGAAATCAGAAACATGGACATCACAAACACAATAGGACAGTTCCAATCCAATTCCAGTCCACTTCAACTTAGTGCTTCCCACTCTATCTCTTACCTCTGTAGCTAGTAGAACACGGTCGAATGAACCCCTAGGGAACCGGCTTACTGTATTTATTTATGAAAATTCAGAAATTATATAGCCCTCCAATTACTACACAATAAACAAAATCTCAAGCACAAGCATAAAAATAAAATATAGCAGCTGCGGCATATATGTAGACAAATGAAATAGCTCTTAAAACGCTGCTGTATTTTATAAAGCACTGCAAAAAGCCAAACAAAAGCGTTGGCCTATAGAGGTCAATGATCGAAACACTAATTTTGCGATTTTCTTGATAAACAACAGCGGTTGGACTCGAAATTCATGTGATCATATTGCTAGCCAGACATGAAGCTCATGGTTACTCTATATAGAATAGGCCCGGCTATGATCTTCACCCACGTACGCCACTGCACGGACGCTTACGAATAAAAACGCGCAAATATTTTTAGTCACCGTGTAAAAACGTACATGCACACCTTTTCTCATCTCGCTGTAGCCTGTAACGTATCTCTACTGGGGTTGGAGCTTGAAAGAAGGGCTTTGATGGTGTTTTCTGCTCCAGCACACTGCCCAAGACACTGCCAAATAACATATGGGATTTAAAATGTCACATATGTATATCCTTATTGTGGTGAATGCCTACCTGGACAGCATTTGTAAAGTAGGTTAAGTAGGGAAAGTCCGTATATTTTTTTATGAAAAAACAAGGCGTCCCAAATCTGGTAATTTCTGAAAAACGCACCATCTGACGTTCTCATTTGTGAGAAAGATTAATAAGTCTGGACAGAGTAGATGGCTGGGCTGGGTAGGAAGATAAGGTAATCCTATAATAATATACCTGATAGTGCTAAAAGATCATAGACATTTGAATAAATGGATAATCTTATAGGTACGATTGTGAAAAGATGTGTTATATGTTATATTAGCCCATTTATTTTTGCATCGAACAATACATTTCAACAGCGCTCCGAATTCCCTCCAGAAAAGGGGCGTCACTGAGAGGCAAAACATAACCCACCGCGCCGTACATAAAGAGTGGTGGATAAAACATTACAATAGTACCTCACCAGTCACCCTGAACAAAGTTTAACAACTGTACGATCAATAACCACGTCGGACGATCACATAGGGCCTCATAGTGTTGGCAGGATACGCAGAATCACACGTCACTTGGAAACCCAAACTCCGATAGCGTGCTGAAGTGACGGCAGCAAAACTATAGTATCATGTGAATACAATGCATAACACTTGCAATTATTATAATACTTTAAGCAATAGTGCGTGTCAGATCATAAAGAAACCTCAAAAGATTCTTGAATAAATCTATAAATATTTGACTCAACTAAATAAAACGCAAATCGCATTTGCAAATCCATTATTTTTTTTTTTACCTAGAAATTAATGCCCAGATGCGATCTTCCGAACTATGACAATTCACGTCTCACGAGCTACTAAATGATTGTTCTGCAATTATTGTGCAGTTTCTAAGGTTTATCATAGCATTACGCTTCTCAGCCATCAAACATCTGCAAATGTCGAGTGGAAGTCTACCACCGACATATGTCAGCCAACTGCATAGGGAAGAGTTCCCTGCAGCCTTCCGAGCATTTAATGCATGGCTGAGTGACAGCAGTTGCCGGACCTACCAGTGATTGGTGTTAGCTCGGGGAGGCAGCGCAGCCTCCCTGATCCCCTATGATCACTAGCTGTCGCTGTGCTGGTCGGATGCGTCGCTGTTGTTGCCGCTGACGATGACGATGTCGCCAGAACTGGAGCTGTCCGCCTTGGTCTTGTCGGCTGCCTCGGCCGGCGCCGGCTTCACCATCTGCCAGGACGGGATGGAGGGTGCCGGCGGCGGCGACGGCGCAGCGGCGAACTGGTGCCTGGGGTAGACAGAACCGTCATCAGTCGGTAGCAGCGTGGACACACAGTACACGCCCCCGGCCCCTCCCCCGAAAACAGCACGCACGTCAGTTTTAATGGGAACAGACTAAGACACATTCGCCGGCTAAAACAGAGACAGCACACTTGAAAGTAAAAAAGTCAGCTACGCTAGAAACAGACAACATAAGTCAACCATATCGAGACAGCGAAACAGACAACATGCTTCAGCCACGCCAAAAACATACAGCATAAGTCATTTGTTTGTTTGTTTGTTGGGGGTTAGGGGCGCGCCGACTACGAGGTCATTTTGCGCCCATACAGCATAAGTCAGCCTGACCACATAGTAGCAACTTCAGACATGCTGTAAACATATGATCCAGACCGTGTCACCGTAAGCAGACTACTACACACGCCAACCATTCCCTTTCCCACCATCACCACTTTCTAAGCTGGTCGACATTTACCTGTTGAGCATCAGTCCTTTGAGAGAGGCCACCTCTGCACGCAGCTGGCCGAGCTCCCTCTGCAGCTGGGTTTGGTCGGCGGCGGCCGGCCGCAGCTGATCCAGCGAGCGCTGCTGATCACCCAGCTGGGTCTGCAGGGCGCGCAGCGAGTCCGACAGCTGGCGCACAGAGGCGTCCAGGCTGGCCTGCAGCGCGTCCAGCCGCTCGGCAGAGGACGGCCGCCGCCGGGAGCCCGTCAGCCACGGCAGCACGTACGTCTGCCGGCGGCCGCGAAACGTCAGACGAGGGAGTATAAAACACGGTACAACACACGGCAGCACAAAGGTCTGCCGGCGGCCGGTGGGTGCGGCACGTCAGACGCGGGACTCCGGCGGGAGTATAACACACGGCTATACCGCCGAGTGATGTATCTGCATGACCACTGCACACCAATTGATCATAATTTTGATCGGTGATTTAGGTACTGAAAAGAAGTGTGAGATAAAACCAAGACAGCTCATGACGTACAAACAAGAATTTGTTGGCTTGTCCTAACTATTGCGCTAACATAATCGAATTGCTGATTGCTGAATATGCGCACCCAAACCACGACTGACAGTAAAACAAGCAGCTTCATTATTACACATTGTATACAGATATTGCAACCAAGACTGATACACAACTCGCAATACTTACCTTAACAATATAATAGATGATGTATCCTCCACCGAAAAATACAACGATGACGTTACACACGGCTTGCAGTGCGCCCAAGAAGCGTGGACTCTGGCGGATCCCCAAGAACGCGCATGTTTGGGTCTGGAAATAGGGAGCAGCACTAAATAAAACTATCATCGATAAATCCACGAGAACTAGTGTTTATGATTTCCCGCAGCCACCATAGTACGACTGTACGACAAACGCAAATGTAAGCAGGACATACTCTAAATACAGCAAGTCGCCTATGCATGCATCCAAATTAATCTTTTAGACAACAAGGGCCCACGAAACACAGTAAGGTATAAATTGCGAACAGCTACGAATATATGCTACTAAAAATTCTAGATACTGGAATGTAAGTTAAGAGAAATGCATAGTTCCCGATTACATTGACTCAAATAAGTCATTCTACCTTGCCATTAACCTTCTCATGCACATTGGCGCACTTTGAGCACTGAGTGCCGGTAACGACCGGGGCCGTGATGTCCGGACGCAACTTAGCACTCACGCTGTGCAGACTGTAGGCAACCGCCGGACTGCGCAGCACAGCCTCGTTAATCTCCTCCTCAGTCAGCCCCTTCTGCCGCAGGAAGGCCAGCTTCTGCTGCTCGCTGCTGCCGGCCACCCGCGGGTTGTTGAGGAAACGCGCGGCGGCCACCACCATCTGCTCGCGAGGGGCCACCGCCGCCGCCGCCGCCGCCGGAGACTCGCTCATACTGAGGCTGTCACGGCTGCCGACAACACAGAACAGGGTCAGAAAGTACAAGGTTTATAGGCGGAGAAAGGCTTAAATTCAGATAAGACAATTTATAGAAAGTAGAAACTAAATAGTAAATATACTAAGGCGCTAACGTTACACGCAGGAAAGGTGGCGCCAACTTGAGCTGTGGCGTCCCGTCGGGCTGACACAGAGGACTTGCAATCTGGGACAAGACGTGCCCTGAAACTATCGTACCGAGACGAGGGGCCGGCGGGCTGGGACGAGAGACCGGCCCAAGCTGGTGCGGACTTGTTCCTCTCGTCACGGTTTCATCATGCGACATTCTGTCGCAACGAAAGACGGCGTACGAAAACCACTGGAATGCTGCTCTTCGGGACTGACAAGTGCTCAGCATAACCACTTGGCAAGCGAGCTAGAGTACCGGGTGCTTGTGGCTACGGTGAAGAAGTGGAGGAACTATCTGCAGGCTGCGAAGAAGATCGTGCTAGTAAAACTAGCCCGCTAGTTTAGCTTCGAAGACAGAAGGATCCCAGACATGAGTTGGTAAAATAGTAAATGGGACTGGAGCCCTGTAACTATAGGATCGTGTATCGGAAAGGTATAGAAAGCGCTGGAACTGACTGCCCAAATATGACTATTAGCCACCCGTGGATCCTCAGTTGAGCGATGAAGGTAAACACTTCGAGAGACACGCGTGCAACTTTGGGAACACTGACGCATTGATCAAACTGGCTTCCTCACTGAGGCAAGATCCAGTGATATTATTCACAGCGTCAGATATTGCTAGCTAACGATAAATCATCAGCAGACGATACCGGCAGAACCGAGGCATGACGCTGAAAAATGGTGTCTTCATGAAAGGTCATCGAGTGGTCGTTCCAGGGAGCATCCAGCGGGAAGTGGTGGATGTGGTACCCAGGACAGAACAGCATGGCGTTGAGAAACCCTCCAGACTCCAGAGAGTGAAGAGTCACTTTTCTTGCTGGAGATTCCAGCTTGTGTGTGTGTGTGCCTGATGCCTCCTCGCCGAATAGAAGATGCGGACGACGGAGTGGACTCAGAATGAATGAAGGTTCGTCTTGAACATTGAAGGTCAGGAAGACGACCATGAAGGTCATGTTCATCTTCAATCTGGTGAAGAGTAGTCTATCAAAATGTGCCCATACCAGAAAGAGCATTGATTCAATCTCAGATCACCACAGATTGTAGTAAACTCTGATCCCAGGGCATAACTCATAAGTCAGTCCAGAAGGTCACTGCATACTACTTGTGCTGGCACGTACCATTACATAGGCTTTAGAAATCAGTATGTATAAGAGTGAAGAAAAGAACCAAATGGACTGGAGTATGCCAAGTGAGCATGAGATACGAGCAGGGTCACAGATCACATAGAAGAGTGGTCTGGTTGGAAGCCTCTGCTCAGTGCTCAGTGCCAATGGATCAAACCATGTGACCAGCACTGTTGGCTGCAGCATCTTCCTAGTTCTTGCACATAGGGAGCTCAGAGAAGTGCACTCACAATGACAGTGTCTAGGGTGGAGAGGGGTGCAGTGCTAGAAAAGTTTGGTGATGCCTACTGTAAAGTGCAAACATATAGGAATGATTGCCCCTTCCCATGACACCACAGAGAAGCAACCTGAACTGAATCATTTAATGTTCAATGCTGAAGATCACAACATCCACTGTCATCCAGTGTCCACTCCTCAACAAAGGTTTAGTGTCAGGTCTCCCGAGGTGATGCATGAGATGCGCCTGGAGGAGAAACAGAGCCCAGATGACAGTCTGGCATCAACACCACCCCAGTTCCTGTTGCAAACTACACAGTCCTGACTCAACAGACATTGAATCCTTGCAGGTGCATGCATGACTGTAGAACTAATAACTTTTTGACCCGGCAGCTTGTTGGTTCCGCAACCATATGCACCACAGCTTGCCCATCCAGCATCCCCTTTTGCATCCGCACTTAGTCAAACGAATCAATATTAAGCCAGCAATAAATTGATTTCACTGCTTTATATTTTATACAGATATTCTTTCTTGAAGTTGTTATCTATTTTTGGGAAAAATGACAAAATCTCAAGTTCATGTTTCAGTTCAAGTTTGGATACCGCAGGAAGGGCGCCAGCCGCCGCCACGGCTCCTTGAATACATCTAATGGGTGATTTTCTACACTGAAACGTGATACGCTCATGCAAATACTAAAAATATTCTTTCGAATCACGAAAATAAACGAAAAACAATTCACAGCGTCCTACCTCCAGCTTCTCCACCACACACCAAGGCCCCACACACACACACAACGCACTCGCACGCTTTATCGCGTCGCTTCTGCCGCGGAACAACGGGAGCGTTATATTTTGTTTTGTTTTTCTATGACGCTAATTTATAATTATCTTTAAATTACTTGTAATTTCTTTTTAATACAATAATATAATCATTTTAGAATCTCTTAACCGATATGAAGTTATTTTATCACTCGAAAAATAAACTCAGAAAGTTTTTTTTTTCAAAAGAAAAAGGGATTGACGTCATCTAATTAATTCCAAGCGCGAATAGCGCCCACCAAAAAGCAATAGTGCGGCAAAAGCGGTGGTTTTGGGGGTGGGGTCCTAACACCCAGCAAGCAAGCACGGGGGGTGGGAGGTGCCAGTGTTTTTATATACCTTGGGAGGTGCGCTGGGTGGATGGTTGATTTTTTGGTAATTATATTGGTAATTAATTGGTATTGGTAATTGGTAATTATATACAGGTACGAAATTACATTTGGAAATCCTTGCAGCATAATTTTACCATCACAAAAATCCAAGTTGAATTGACACATTGGTGTGAGGAGATACCGATCCAAAAGGTCGGAACCAGGGCACTACTGAACTCAAACTGAAGCGAATCGGAATATGAATAGTCTGAACATATACCAAAAAGGCTTCTCAAATATCAATATTCCAAAACGTCCTCAGGTTTTAATTCCTTATGCGCCTCTGTGCAGTTTAAAGCTTAATTTTCAATCTCACTTTTCCTTCTATTCTCCGACCCCATTCCTGTTAAACCAAAATTCTGGGCAATACCCATTGGGTGCCGCAGGGGGACATTTGCCTCAAATGCCCACTGGAATTGCGAGTAACTGGCCATGGATATACCATTCCCTAGACAGAGCCTTATTCAACTCTGGTTTGAGGTTACTTAGACTGCACTTATGAGGGAAAAGCAGCAATCTTTGATGTCTCTTCAATAAGCTTTTATGTTCACCCAGATTCTACTAATAAAGTAGCTGCAAGCCTTTGATTGGCAAATGAAATCAATGCCTAAAGCTCTGAGGTCATGTTAAGCAGAGATCCAGCACTCTGCGGTCTGCCTGCCATTGCTGAAAAAGTCTGTGCACGAGTCATCAGCAGTGTGTTTTATTTTCTCAGGAACTGGTATGGTAGACTATTGGAAAGGAAGGTACCCTGGCTGACAGTGGTCACTGGTCAAAGCTCACTGGGCTGGACATAGTCCAGGCTTGATTGAAGTCATCCCAATGTCCATGATAAAATAAACCACATATTGTAATTTAGGCACCTATCATGGCAAGCTGATTTGATGCCCAGTGCCCAGTACACACTGTACAGAGAATTATTTCAAATTCCAATGAGCTAATCAATTTTAACAGCTAGGAGTGACTAACTGTGTTTGCAATTTGCATTATGATAGCCAGATTCCTATGCAGCATGGAGTGCATGTGTTGCACCATTATTAACAACCCAATAACTATGCTGCTTCTTTCAGCACCTTTGTCACCTTGCAACCACTGTTGATGCCACACAACTGAATCTTAGTGTATCTTACCATAGTTGCATGGCTAAAAGAATGAGTAGAGTAGACCAGTAGAAGCTGCTAGGTATGTAATAATCATTTACTGGATTGGGGGCTCCCATTGCCCATTGGCAGCTCATGCATGGCACCTACTTACCTGCCCTGCACAATGGGATTGATTATGATGCCCTGTTCTCACTTCTCAGCTCATCTGTGCTGTGCTGGTAGCTGGTGCTCTGGGCCCTGGGGCGATAAGTCTAATGTGACACGGTTGGTGCTGGTGGTGGACAATAGCAGTGGGCAGATGGTAAGACCGGACTCCAGTCGGCGGCGCTCCCTTCATCCTCGCGGGTCGATGTGACGTGTCCGCACGTCCGTCGCGATGGCCTCCGGCTGGCAGCGACTACACGCACTTCACGAGGAGGCCTCTGAGTGGCTGGCTGTCCACGCGCCAGTCTCCACCACCGCGCTCTTTCACTGCTTCAGCAGACTCCTGAAGCATCGCGTCAGCACGCACTACGATGTAGCAGTACCTATCAACGAGGCCATGATCGAGGCGTCGCTCTGCATGAGCCAGAGTCGAGCGGGCATGCCACTGCCGCTGCCAGACAGTCGCGCCGACTGTCCGTGCGCCCACCTGACCGGCCTCACCGTCGATAGGGCGTTTCTGTCAGGCAGCGCGCGGGAGAACTGTAACGTCACGCTGCTGGACAGCTGCGCCTCTGACGTGGACGTGATGCTCCAGCTGGGCGGTATCCGCGTGGAGGAGAGGCAGGAGACGGTCAGAGCGGCCCGGGTACCGTGCCGGTCTCTCCGAACGCAGGGGCCTGGCGTTGAAGGCTCTGGAGCGATGGTTGATTCACAGACGGGAAACCCTGCTGATGGCGGACAGACCGCAGCAGGTGGTAGTGCGGGAATAGGATTCGGGGCCGGACGTGGTCCGGGAACCATCCATGCTGGTGGTGGAGGGAATGGAGAAAATGTGGGTACGGAGAGTGGAGCGGTCGGTGGGTCGGAGCCAGAACGTACTGGAGCAGTCGGCAGCTCGGAGCCGGGGTTGGCTGGAAGAGTGGGAAGTTCGGAGCCGGGACCGAGTGGTGGTGGTTTGAAGCCGGGGCTGGCTGGAGCGGTCGGTGGACGGAACCCGATGACTGGGGACGGCGGCGGACCGAAGATAGTCGTCTCCATGGAGCGGGCAGAACAGCCGGGCTTCTTCCTGCTGCGACACCGCACACTGCCGGGCTGCACCCATCGGCGGGCGCTGCCGCTGCAGGCGCGCCGCGTCGTCGAGCTGATCGACTCGCTTCGTCAGCGCGTCACTGAACAGAGCGCCAGCTACAGCGGCCCGGCCGTGTCGGCCACTGTGCAGAACTTCGCGCACCGGCCGGCTGACATTGACCTGGTGGCGTGCGTGCGCTGCCCCCGCTGGCCGAGCGCCGACTACGCGAGCAGGCCGCGACCGGCGGGCTGGCCGGACGCAGCGCTGGTGGTCCGACTGTGCCGTACGGCTGCCTTCCTGGTTCCCGTTGGATTTCCCGGCAGCGCCATGGAATCGCTGCAGTGGCGACTGTCCTTCTCCAAGCACGAGTACATCGCTCTGCGGAATATGACTGCCGACCAACGAATGTGCCTCCTGGCGCTCAAATTCTGCCGTGCAGTGGTCGGGCCGACTGCCAAGCCGCTCAAGAGCTACTACCTGAAGACGGCGCTGCTGTGGCTGGCCGAGTCTCGCGCGGCAGATCAGTGGACGGCGGAGACGATGCACGACTCGCTGCTGCTGATCCTGCGCTACCTGGATATCTGCCTCGCCCGCGGCTACCTGCCCTGCTACTTCTGGCCAGAGGTAAACCTGCTGGCCAGCCGCAGCGACGCCGAGCGCGCCGAGCTGGCGGCGGCCGTGGCCGAGCTGCGCCGCCGCCTGCTGCCCGCCGTGCTGGCGCTGCTGGCCGACTGGCTGGGCCGGCCCGTGCCCGAGCTGGCCGAGCGGCTGCTGCTGCGTGCCGAGCGGCTCAGCAGCGGCGAGTTCTGGGGCATGACGGCGCTCAGCGCGCTGGGACAGACGCTGGCGCGGCCCGCGGCCTCAGAAGCAGAGAGTGGTGATGGGGACGACAGCGACAGCGACGACTCGCTAATGGATCGTGTGTTAAACGTGGTCACGTTCGGAAAGAACCAAACGGCAGGCTCGCTTCTCACCTTCCATCCGTTCTTCTCGGGACATGCCCTCACTTTGAACGTGTTTGAACAGCTTGGCAACCGGGAAGATCTAAGTTCCTTCGTGGGCTTGCTGAGCTTGTTTCAACGAGGAGAAGGTATAGCCAAGGACAGTTGGCTCGAAGAACCCTAAGCTCGGTGTCAGGTGGGTGTCGCCTGCATGCTGCGTTTTCCTATGCCTCCCGTCCTGCCGCCATCCGAGATATGTCTTCCTGCTTGCTGAGGGGGGGGGGGAGACGTGGCTGCGTCGGATGCAGATCCTGAGACTCATAAATATTAAATAGGCGTTTGGAGGTCTGCGATGCATGTAAACGCTTTACGTCGTGTCGTGGTATGATTTTTTCCCTTTGACCGCGCTTCTATGTCCTCGTTCGATGTTATAGGGCCAGTGGCTTTTGTGCGTGCTGAAAGTAAAGTTCACCTGCTGCTCTTAATGCCATTTGTCGGTACCTGGCTGCTGCCAACCTTATCAGCTCGCGCTGATAATGATAAGCCGGCGTTGGAAGTTACTAGCATTACGACACAACGAAACCTGCTGATCTCCACGCATGATGGAGGTTCCGTGCGCTTACCTATCAAGCGTCCGCTTGGAGTGTCGCTCGCAGTCCGAGCGTCCAAAACCCCAAATCACAATAATCATATTTCAAGGACACTGGTCAATGGGACTTCAATTATTTACCATGAGTAATTTAATAAGCTCCTCTTATTCAATCAGATTTAATCGTGACAGACGATCTGTAGGTTGGGCTTCGATGCTCAACTTTTCATTGGTGTCTGTCTGAAATGCTCATTTAAAACGCATTTCTTCGATCATTTTTTCCGGAGCAATCATTATTTGAAGCGAAACGTATGCTATTTCATCAGTCAATCAGGGCTAAAATCTGAACATGTCAGGACATCGACCGGGGTACTAACTACTAAACAGTAATTGAAATGAGCTGAAGGCAACACAGGCTGAGTAAATGTTCGTTTGTTGGCTAAACAATAAACACTGTCACAAAGGACTGACGTGAGAAATAATTGTTTTCAAAGTGGTCAAAAGTGTCCACTTCTAAAACCTCAGGTCTCCATGGTAAACTCTGAACATTTCACGCTGTTACCCTGCTACCCACGCTGTTGCACCTTGGTTCGATGTGTATAACACGCTGCTGACCCCCGCAGGCGCCATGGCCGGTTGCCTGGACCGCTGGATGTCGGAGCTGCCGCCGGAGGTCCGTCGGCGGCCGCTGAACCGGCTCGCCATCCCGGGCTCTCACGACAGTCTGAGCTACTCACTGGGCGGCGGCGCCGAGTCGTGTCCGGCCGAGCCGGCGCCGGACCTGTCTCCGGCCGCGCTGGTCGGCCTGTACCGGTGCGCGCCGCGGCTGGCGCGGCCGCTGCTGGTCCGCTGGGTGGTCACCCAGCAGCTGAGCGTCACTGACCAGCTGGCCGCCGGTGTGAGGTACCTGGACGTGCGCGCCGCGCTGCACGGCGGCCAGCTGCACGTGGTGCACGGTCTGCACGGGCCGCCGCTGGCGCCGCTGCTCGCCGAGGTGCGCCGGTTCCTGGCCGACCGACCCGGTGAGCTGGTGATCCTTGACCTGCAGCACGTGTACGGCGTGGGCAGCGGCGGCGCCGCGCGCCTCTCCGCCCTGCTCGCCGACACGTTCGGTGACTCCCTGGTACCTCGCGGCGAGGCGGCTCCCTCACTGGAGGCGTGTGCGGCGGCCGGCCAGAGCGTGCTGGCGGTGTACCGCGGCGGCAGCGGCGACTGGAGCGCCGCCGGGCACCCGCTGCTCTGGGACGAGCGGGCGCTGAGCTCGCCCTGGCCGGACACACAGAGCGTGAGCCGACTGTTCTCGCTGCTGGAGCGGCACATGGCCCGCGCGGTGCGCCACGCCGCCGGCCGGCTGCATGTGCAGCAGTGTGTGCTGACGCCACAGACGAGCGGTGTACTGCTGAGGGCCGGCAGCTCAATGCGCCGACTGGCAGAGAACTGTAACTCGGCCGCCGCCGCCTGGCTGCCCGGACAGAGTGTCGAGCGCGGCCTCAACATCGTCATGCTGGACTTTGTCGGTGTTGGAGACCATCCACTGGTGGAGATGGTTGTAAATAAAAACTACGAGCGGTGACCCCTCTTCTCCCGAGGCGCTTTTGCCGACATGTTCTTAGTATATTTAGCATTTACCTTCTTATATTACCTTACATTAGGTAACTAATGTTCGAGATTCACCATGTCCAAAACATGGTTGATTGTTACAGCTTAGTTGTTTATACGAATTATGAGATTTTATTTACAGTCAATCGATTCACGATGTTTAATGTTGATTGACATAGCCATTCAGTTGTTAGTAGGTGCGAAATACGAATTATGAGATTTTTCTTGAATCAATCGATCCACGATACTTAGAAGTTAATGTGTAACTCAAACAATATTGACAGGGTTACTGTATGTATTAGTCTGACGCTTTATTGTTGCAACAGTGACGTGCTTTATGATCATGGCTAAGAGGAACTCTCATGATAGGCGATTTTGGACATGCCTATTTTTGTTACATTATAATCGAGAGCTTCCAATGAGCTTTGGTACCTGTTGCTAGTACCTGTTGTGACTTGTGTCTATCGCTCAACTGCGCTTGGTGTGACTGTGAAGTGTGAGCGGTCTTTCTGCGCGCTGTGTCTTGGTGGCGGTGGTGATATCGTCTCTCAGGTACGACGCGAGTGTGATACGACTCACGACTGTCTGTTGAACATTTCATACTTTTTATCTTTTAATACAAGCTGGAAATTGCAATGGTGATAGAATGGCAGCATTGACGGTCTCTAAGCAGAAGGAACCTCAGGATATCGAGTGGTTTTAGACTGCGATGGCGAATCGTGCCTTCAGTGTGGTCAAAAGCGGGCGACCCAGCGCTCAACAATCTAATCGGCACTGAACGTATATACGTTTTCGTGTTTGATAAGTGCTGGTGTCATCAAATAGAACCAGTGTTTGACATCAACTCGTGAAGCGCACTGCCGCATTTTACCTGTTAGCTATCGTATCACTGAAGATGGGCCTCCTGGAATCGGTGATGCACTGGGGCCTTCATCAAAGGTTCAAAGTTGACGCACTTCTTACGAGCGTGTTCTTTTTTAAGTTGTTGGCTACCATCATCGTTCACAGGGTAATTTTCTCCCAAAACCCAATCATCAAACGCTTCACCGAAACACAGGACTGTAACTGTTGCCTGCCTCAGCAGTGTATGTATTACACACATACAGCGCCGTGGTACAGAGGCCACGGTGGTCCTAATATGGGGCCGGCCGCCCCCCCCCCCCCCCCCCCAGACCGGGCCGGTGCCGGCCCCACCAACAACAGACACCACACCGCCATAGGAATGTATGCAGTACATCAGTATATGTCGCGCACGTGCCACCCTAGCACACACCGGTCTACGTAACTCCACGTCAGTACGAGCCGCAGGTCTGCAGTAGAAGTCACGACGAGAAAAAAGAACGTCGTGACTTATATGAAAGCAATAAAGCAGTACATATAGTATAAGAACATAAATGTGCCAAGGACTAAGTGATGCATAAAGCAGAAAGCAGATTTTGCGACGAGCATACATGGAGTAACAACCATAGTGATAATCAAACTCGCGAGAATGAAGCCAAGCGCAATCAAGCCACAAGAAGCCGATAACCTACGACACACATCCAAAACCACAAAGTAAAAAGGTGCAAATTGAAATCCACCGAAAACAATCTCCACTCATTTTCAGCGATAGACGATGCGGTTCGTTGTGTACCGCAGATGGTCTAATAACTAGACGATAGAATGATAGACGGTTCAGATACAGCTAATTTTAACTACCCAATAAGTCTCCCTCCAATATTTAACGCCACAGCACGAACACGACATTCAACCGGTGCTTTGGCTAAGTATCTATTCCAATACCACCTCATATTACATAGTGTCATGTCATGTTGACACTCGTGAAATTCACCGGTTCCTCCTGTGAGCAGATTTCACTCTGGGAGTCGCGCAGAGACCATCTAACCAGGCTCGGCACAACGCTCCAATAATCGGAGAACGGTCGGAGCCAGCGCCATCTCGGTAACAAAAGAGGCCGATCACCGACAACGTGAGATGGTCAGTGGTCACGCCCAACAACGCTGGCCTGCCCACGCCGCCTTCTCTTCAACTCGCATCTCCCTCCCTCCTAACACTCCATCACTCTCCCCAGTTCTCACATCGACCGGTCTCCATCTGAAACTCTCTGCCGTCACCCACCTCTCCCCAACACTTCCGTCGGCCCTCGCCGCCCTTCTAACACTCCCACGTCGCCTTTTCATGTCGCCCAGCACTTCTCAACCACTGACAGGTAACGTTTTACCACCGTCTTCCCTGGCACGCCGGGCGGGCGCGGGTGTGATTAGGTGGTGCGCCGGACACTCAGAACTGGACCCAGTTGGAGGGTGCCGCCGAGCCAGACCCCGAGCTAGCTGACGGTGCCGAACTGCGGGGGCAGGCGGGGACCCGTCAGTCCTACGAACATATGTTCGATATGCAGTGGCACAAATGAACGAGTAGTCATAAAGAGCACATGTTTCAATGGTTTCATTGCACACGCATGGAGCTGATTCTTAGAGCGCAATGAGGCATACGCTTTTGCTGGTAACTTGAAAGATTTTTCTTTTAAAATTATGCATACCTCGCATTGCAGAAGGTATATGATTATGACAGACAATTAGACAAAAGTCTGAAATAACGACAAGAAATTAATATGATGTAGCATGACACTTCAACAAAACACCAATTTCTTTCATCATAGATGTCACACCACTGTCGGACAGCGCGGAGGTAGGACAGCCCCCGCGGCCGGCCGACCACCCACCTGTTCCCCGACGTGAAGTCGCCCCACTCGTTGGCGGCGGGCGCGGCCGCTGCCGCCGGGGCGGGGGCGGCGGCGGCCCGGGGCGGCGGCGCGATGGCGGCACCGGGCGGCGGCGGCAGCAGGCCCAGGCCGCCGCCGCCGCTGCCGCGCGGCTTGGCCCGGTGCGTGGGAGACACGTCATCGTCATCGCCGCCATCCTGGTTCTTTCGCTGTCGGTAACAGACGGCACCACGTCAACTGAGAGTTAACGCGACAAAGCAAAGTGAAGAGACTGGGGGCATCCGGGAAACCTTTCATACAGATGTCCCCTGAACTGCGATCAATGCCAGTGACTAGCCAGTGTTTCACCACGCGACGTAGATTGTGAAACGATTAGAAAAAAAACTGGTCTCGGATAAATATCAAATGGACATTGATGCAAACATCCTGTAGAATACTTGAAACTCTGTTCTGTGCAGTTCCTAGAACCCAGTTGTTTATTGTTCTCAAATCGTGGTTTTATGTCGCGATTCTGAAGCCGTGGTGAAACCCTCAGGCCAAAGTAACTCAATGTGAAAAATAGTAAAAGACGGTCTCACCACAGACTGAAGAATTGATAGACAATATCGCTAGTCAGTATTGGATGGAGCCAACATTCACCCCAGTCCCCACATCACATTTGAGCGCGACCACAGCGGAAACTGTTTTTAAGAAGGCGAAATTCATTTAAAAGGGCTTTAGCCTTTATAGAACAACCATAGACGGACATCCGTAATGCTGCCTTTTGAAGCCATTTAAAATCCTAATTCCAAGTCGTTTTACTTTCGGACGTTTAATAACCCGCGGGAGTTTTAGTAACAGATGACGAGATGCCCGTACGTTTGAGGTTTCATCATTTATGTTTTCAGGAGCATTGATGTTTAGTTTATAGATATCCCGTAATGGAAATACAGGTGGTATTATAGCACCCATCGACCATCCACCAATTTCGGCATCCTCCGTCTCACTTTCACTCCTAGTTTCGCCAGTCTACCTACCGTGATTTTCATATTGATCTTGATGGTCTGTCCCTCCTTGAAGCCGAGGTCGAGCTTCTGCGTTGGCTCCGACTTCTCCTTTTCGATCTGGTTCTCCTTGAGCACCCACTTAAAGTGGTCTTGGAGCGCCACGTTCAGGTCGAAGCTGTCGGACCGGTCAGCGAAACCCACGCCGATGAACGCAGTCCGACCTGGAAACAGCACATTCATCGTCAGATTCGCTGCGACTTATAGCAGTGTTACGCTCGTCCGCTTTAAAAATAATGCTTTGTCCCATCGCCCTACATCCGCCTCTCATCACCCTGACCCCGCCTCTAACCGCCTTAACCCCGCCTCTAACCACCCTAACTCCCTCCTCTCACCGTCTAACCCCGCCTTTCCCCTTCCTAGCTTTCCCCAGGCTCTCACCACTGTCATCCATGATACGGAGCACAAAGTAGCGAGACGAGTCTGTGACGGCCTCAATGGCCACGCCCGGGTACGACTCCACCGGACAGTTGGCAAACAGTTCGCCACTGTTGCGGTCCTCCAGGCGAATGTTGCACGTGCGGCCGCGGGAGGTGAGCTTCAGTCGGCCAGTCCAGTCTGGGGTGCCCAAGTTCCAGTCGGCAGCCCTGGAGACGCACAGACAGATACATAAAACACAGTGAGGACTAACATCTTACTGAGCTTTACCAGCAGCCCTGTGAGACTCTCCCTACTCGGCAACGTCAGACCGGACCCACGCAGCTTCGAGACAGCCGACAGCGTGACCGTGGTGGCCTTGAACCGCGGCTACCTGAGGCACCAAGAGCCTCTAAGCTACGGTTGGCGGTGGCCGACTCGAGGAGGATAAGAACATCAAGGTGTGAACAGACCTCACCTGTAGTCCCTGGCCGAGGTGTGAACAGGCCTCACCAGTAGCCCCTGACCGAGGTGTGAACAAAGCTCAAACTTTGGCAGCCTTTGGCAGACGTGTAATCATACATCACCCACAACAACCGCCTGAGGTGCAAACGGACCTCTGTAACCCTTGGCCGAGGTGTGATTAGACCTCACCTGTATCCCCTGGCCGAGGTTCGCGGCGGGATCTGGTACACAAACACCTCCTGTTTCACCAGCAGCGTGCTCTCGTAGTCGTCCATTGTGGAGGCGGCTGCGCTGCTGATGCTCAGACACACAGCCTGTCTGTCGCCCGTGATCGTCCGTTCAGCGCCGCCTGGCTATAAAATCTGCGGGGGCAAACGCATCATGAAATAGGTAGATCGTCGGATATTGTCGGTCTTTGTCAGGAAATCGCTTAATTTGCTATTCAGAGATCTTCAGGCTTTGGTACACCTTGGATGTACAAAAATGGGTGTAACACCCATTTTTTTCATTGAAGCAAAAAACTGACTGGGTATTTTTGATAAATTGTCTAGCAGATTATTCAATTGTCATTTCAATCCCTCCCTTAATATTTCTTACGTCTCTGAGAGCCCAGGTAAAAAAGAGCAATTTTACTGGAGCCAATAGAAGAATATTTAAGCAACCAGAATTCATAGGTGCTGGAGCACACAGCCAGAGTAGAGTACCACAGTGAGTAGTGAATCATGCAGGGTGTGGTGCAGATTTACTGCTACACAGCACAGGTTTTGTCTGCAGTGGTGACATCTGCATGTAACAGCATGCTGAAGTGCAAGTGTATGCTGTCCAAGATAATAACAAATTGAAGACTATTCATGATTAGCCAGTGATCAGCTAGCTTTATAGAACTCTGTGGTGTAATAATGACATCCAAGCCTTTGCTTAGTAAAGCCTGGTGCCTGGTGCATATGCTTTGGTACAAGCTGTTGCAGATTTTTTGACCAGTGAAGCTTATCACAGATCACCTCTGCTATCTGCTGCCATATATTACTTAGCAATCTGACAGAACAGAGAAGCAGGCATCCCATCCTAACCCTACCCATCTGTGTGAAATTGGGTCAGACACAACCATAGGACATGTAAAGTGAAAGTCTTAGTTTGCCCTGAAGCTGCCATTTTTTACCCTGAACCCATTACCCAGGTCATTGTAATTTGAATTGCCCAGCCAGCACCCAGCAGTCAGCATATATATATGACAATCAGTATTAATTATGAACAGAAAGCAACTCCTACAAGCTACCTATTCGCGCACATACCCTTCATACCCATCTAAGCATCCATCCATATTCATCATACTCATATCTTCTGGTAAAAGTAATTGAAAATGTCACAAATCTTTGTCATGTTTAAGTGGCTCGGGCTGAAGGAGACACACACAAACTGATACTGATACATATATTATGAGTACACTATACCTACAACAATAATTCATCATATTCCTTTTTGTTATCACATTGGGACCAAAGGCCATATTATAAATAACTGAAGTTGATTTACTGGGTGGTAGTAAACCAGACATAATGTGACACCAGACACTTGCTTTTTGCAACCAAGGAGAGGCACTGTTGAGTGTTGACTGTAGGTTACCTAGGTTGTAGGATATAGGTTTTAGTTGGTAGGTTTTAGGTTGTAGGTTGTAGATTAAGGTTGTAGGTTTTGGGTTTTGGGTAAGGTTAGGTCAGGTTTGGTTAGGTTTAACTTGGTTTGATTTGGTTAGAGAGCATCTCTGGCTATAGCACCTCTCCTTGGTTGCAAAAAACAAGTGTGACGCCTGCTTTACGACTATTCTACCTAGTCTACCAACCGCAATGTAGCCAAATTACTGGTTGCATATCTTTAAATCTACACGAGCTTGATGTGAATGCACTTGTTGGCTCCTTTATTGCTGGGAATCAGCTCAAAATCAGGAACAAAATTTGGACAACGGTGAAAACAGGGCGCCTGGGGTGATTTGATCAAGGCTCTTGAAATTCACTCGCACAAGCTACATGACAATTACTGTGTAAAGGGCGTGAAGAGGGGGAAAACTTCTCAATAGTCACCTTACCTTACCTTAGAAGTACACGGAATTTTGAGGCCAAGTAGCAGGCCTATTGGACCGGATCATTACTTTAAACTCGCTCTGTTTCTATTGATCGAAGACTGATGAATACTGCATGTTTTTCCAGTGGGAGTCGAGTCGGGACTTGAAGGCATTGACAGTAGGCGCGGATACAACAGAGGGAGGCAGGCCGTTCCAGCTGTTGATTGCTCTGACTCCCAGAAAGTTCCTCCTCGCTCTTGATCTTGATCTTGGCTTGTGGAGCTTCAAATGATGGCCTCGAGTAATCCTGGAGCTTGCCAATGGAAGGAGACCTGGGCGCACATCGAGGGAGCCCCGGAGTATCTGGAAGACCGTTATCATGTCTCCTCGTAGGCGTCGATACGTAAGTGAGGGCAGGTCCAACTCCCTGAGTCTCTGCGAGTATGGCTTGGGCCGTAGTTCACGGACCAGCTTGGTAGCACGTCTCTGGACTCTCTCTATCTTCTTTTGGTCTCCCTTCGATGGCGGTCCCCATATACTGTTACCATATTCCAGGTGAGGTCTTATCAAGGTCCTGAACAACACAGTAAGCATGTCTTTGCTGAGATTTCCAAACGATCTGCGGATGATTCCGAGGAGCTTGTTTGCTTTGGCCACAACCCTTGCTGTCTGAACATGAAACTTCATTGCACTGTCTATTGCCACGCCTAAGTCCTTTTCTTCGTCAACAGCAGTGAGGTTTGATTCAAACATTTTGTAGCTGACACAGGGGTTCCTGGGACCCATGTGGAGCACCTTGCATTTGTCCAAGTTGAGTGGGAGTCTCCAGCGTTGTGACCACTCAGCTACTTTGTCGATGTCTTCTTGAAGTCGAAGTCTATCACTGGGGGACTGAACAGGACCGAACAGCTTGGAGTCGTCCGCGAAAATCTTGATATGACTTTCAAGATGGTCAGGCATGTCATTGATGTATATGAGAAATAACAAAGGACCCAGTACGGAACCCTGAGGAACACCACTTTTCACCTTAGAGCTGCTTGACAAGGCGCCTTCGACCAGGACCTGCTGGGTGCGATCAGACAGGAATGCTTCGACCCATTTCAACACCCTTCCATCAACACCATAGTACTTCAGCTTAGAAAGAAGAAGACCATGTGGGACCGAATCAAATGCTTTGCTAAAGTCGAGGTAAATGGTGTCGACAGGCTGCCCAGAGTCTATTGCTCGCGTCCAGTCATCCATAGCTTCAAGGAGCTGGGTTGTACAGGACCTTGCAGGACCTTGTCACGTTACCAAATATGTCCTCCGATGCCCTGTTTTCACCAGTGTCCTAAAATTTGCACCCTGCACAAACTGTAATTTATAATAATAGCCTCAGTTAGTGAAAGCGACAGGGCGCCAGCATTCAACTGGCAGTCATACCAACAAAGGCATAAGTTCAAGTCAATAATGGAACAGAGTGAATAAATAATTAATACAACTTACATAAATATAATGTCACGCTTTTCTTCTACCCAGTAGGTACCAAAATAACACATATACCTAATAATACAAATACCGCAATCAACAGCTATATCCACTTATACACAATAATGACGCGCTTGAGGCAAGTACGTTCGTAATTCAAGAGCTTGACCGATTTCACTGATTCTAGGTAATTTTATTCTCATTTCTTAAAAATCACTGTTTTTTTTCGGATCCTGGAAATCAATTTTGAAAGAAAAATAATAAAAATGTACTATTTAGTCAGAATTATGCTAAAGTTATGCTAAGCTTTTGGCTCAAAACAGTATATTTTTTCAAAGCTTGGGAGAAATTATTTTTTTGAAGAAATTCTAACGCATGGGGAGAATATATTCCTAAGTCCCTAAACAGCGAACGCATACTTTGTGTGACCCTTTCTTGTTTGCATGAAGTGTAGTCAGGTGGCGCTGAAAGACGTGAGTTGTTGGCGTTCTGCGGTAGCAGCGTTCGGGTTGTTTGTGAGAAGTGTGCCGGGTTTCTAACTGTGGAAAAACCGTTTGATTCATATAATTAACATTTCAGGTAGGTTTAGTGGAACGTGGTTGAATGGATTTTAGAACTGTGCTGGTTATAAACAGCCTATGTATATTGAGTAACTAAGTCAAAGAGACATCAAGAAATGGGTCATTTTTGGAAATGATTAATTTGATAGAGTTCTCCTGCTTTTTTACAGTGTTTTGTTTCAACTGCTTGTTCTTTTAGATGTCAATATGAGTGACATCATATTTGGTTTGGTGCAATATCATTGCGCGAATATTTATCTCACATGCAACCATATTGATGACATTTTGGTTAGTTGACATAAGTTTTGCCATTGATCAAATTAATAAAGATGTGATGGATGATTGAATGTATAGCTTATAATATCGTAAGTTTTAGTTTAACAGGTTGATGCCCATGACTGGGAGCTTCCTACATAGTTTAGGTTAGTGTTAATAATGCATGGATTATATTCACTAATATTATCAGCTTCATTGCCTTCCCTTAGCTGAATTAGAATAAAAGAGGGTACCTAACTACCTAGATAGGAGGGCAAGGAACCTTACTTGGAGCCCACAGTCATATGAATGAACTGGCCAAAGATCATATTGGAATAATCATTAGCAGTACCAGTGCCTAGAAGGGACCATGGTCTATATAATGCAATGCCATTGAGTTCTTACATAAACTAACTGAGCATTTATTGAAGTAAGCATGGGTGGATTTGATAGTATCTTTTAGTAAGTTTGGTAATCTATGTTTGTAGTCTTCAGTATGACTTTCTTCAGCAATTTCATCTGGTTTTCAAATTCCAATCTCAAGTACCTATAAGCCAATTGGCAAGGAAGTGAAATGTAGTAATAGCTCAGTCATCTGGCTTCATATGTCTGAGGATTTCTTTGTTTCTAAAGTGTAGCATCAAACTACCTTCCTTTTGCATAGCACTCTGCTAAAAAGTTGGCACTCTGTCTTAACTACCTGCCCTGGAAATGGTATATTCTCAGTACTTCCTATACTGATTCTTGACTTAGATGGAATATTGATTTTCAAGATTCTTTGCTTCATGTCTTTTTCCCACCAGAGTGATCTACAGGACAGGCAGAATAGACTTATTTCTATTCTTACAGGTCTGAACACTAAGATAAACTAGGATGAACACAAATACTCAACAGCCAAACATTTATCATGATTAAGCATGAAGTTAACCCTGCAGTTTAACTGCCATTGTTATTCCTTAAGTTTTCTTCAGAAGTTGGAACCCTTACTGGTCCCAGTGAGTCTCTTATCGCTTCCCTCATGTCCAGCTGTCCCCGTGAGTCTCGGACTTTTCCCGCGCTAACAACCTCCCACACGCGCCTCCCGGACGTGCGTCTGGGCGGTCGTTAGCGCGGGCGGCCTCCCTCGAGTCCCGAGTGTCCCTTGAGTCCCCGCGCGCCCCTGAATTTCCCCTGGTGCCATGTGTGGCAATTCCCACGAATATCTGATTCTCTTTCGAGACTATGTCCCTGAGCGCCGTTGACGGCCATTGCCAATCTCTGAGTGTCCGACCCCGAGCGCCTCTGATGGTCCCTGCCGGTCTCTGACTGTCCCCATGCCCTTCTCGGTTGCAGCGGTACGTGTGCACGCTCCGTACGGCCGATGGTGAGACCGCAACAGCAGGCGGGTGCCGCCGAGCCCGCCGGCGCCGAGCCGGCCGAGCAGTCTGCGCCGCTGCCGCCTCTGAACGGCGACTGCAGCGGCCACGGCGGGCCGACGGACGGCTGCGCGCCGGCCGTGCCGCTGGTCATGTCGTCGCCGCCGCCGACCGACGGTGTGCGCTACACGCCGTCGCCGCACTCTCAGGACTCTGCGTCGCCGCCGCAGGCCGCCGCCAGCCCGCATGTGGTGCTGCTACACATAGTGGACGGAGAGAGCATTCAGTTCCAGCGCGGGGACAATGTGGAGCTCATACAAGGTGAGTGCTCGGGCTGGGAGGACAGTGAGGTGTCATATACGAGTGGTTCGGTAGTAGGTACTTTCTTGGCGAAGTATGTGCTTTGATGGTATCGCGAAGATGATCTACCTACTGAGCTTCGAGCTTTTCGTTCCAGAAGTCGGCAATATCCAAGATGACTTTAGGACTGTATGTGCTTTACACTGAGTTTTGGGAGATCCTCTAGTTGCCTGATCTCAATGGGTTCATAGAAGATTTCACGTGACACAACCACTTTTGAAACTGTTTTGGAAGGGACTGGTATCCCATACTTTTCTGGAACATCAGCCAACAACGAATTCTTATATTGACTCGAATTTTCCGGGTTAACTTTAGAATTGGAATAAGGCACATTTGTTGACTTGCTGGACTCTGCGAATTATGTTTTAGGCATGATTTTCGTTTAACTGTGAATTATGAACTCATTCCATTGTATTACTACAGCGGCTTAGCGTCAGAAGGCGCTCTTTCCTTCGTTATCGTCTCTAGTGTCCTCCGAGACATCAGAGTAACCAGCGAGCCGGTGACCTCCGGAATCTGAAGCCTTAGCACATGTTTGGTAGTCTTATCATTTTTCAAGTTTGTATGCAATGTGACTTTCAAGTCAGCTGTCAAAACAGTCAATGCTACGCAATCACGACAAAAGCATACCAAACTACCCAAGCCATGCTGTGCTAAAATGTGCACAAAGAAACATAAAAGTGCTGCTACTAAAGGCAGCAATAGGCTTATGACTGCGGCACTGCCTCTGAGGCAGCGTCGCAGTCACTGCCTCAGTTTTTTTTTTTTACTCTCTTGGGTAGGCAGTGCCTCATGCCTACAAAATCCTTGCAGTACTGGCGAGATATGAACGCCCTCAGCACACAATTCGTGAAAGGTCGTTCGCTCATGAAAATTCGTTCCGCCGCTTTGCCGCCTGATAATGGGCAAAAAACATACTCGGATTGCACATCGGCTACTTTGAGGTAGTATTAGGTATTTTGCGGCTGTTATGCTCTTTATGCACTTCTCGAGGTGTCGAGTTGTGGGAATCAGGCTTTGTAACCGGAGCGCGGAGGTGGCCACTCGGCGGACTGATGGTGGTCTCCGGTGGTGCTGACGCGACCCCGGCGGCGGCGGCGGCGGCGCCTGTGTCGCGCGGCGCGGCGCCGGTGACGGTGACCTCGCCTGGCCTCCGGAGCGGCGCCGGGTGACGCGTGACGTCACTTCCGGCGGTCCGGCCGGCCAGATGGCTACTGTCGCACCGCGCTGGGAGGCTGTCGACTGCAGCGGGCCGGCCGAGGGTACAGGGCGCGGCCCGTGGGAGCTGGCCGGCCGTGCAGCCCCCATGGCCCTGTGACAGTCCCGGGGCCTGTGACTGTGTGGGCCTGTCCTGCAGTCGGTGGGAACAAGGCACGCCGGAGATAGCCTGCCCGATATTGAACGATGCTCAAATAATGAAGCGGGGGAGGGGCGTGTTCAATATTTTATCGTCCTTACTCTCACGCTGACACCGCTTTGTCAACGATTTCAACCTGGTTCTAACTGATCCACTCAGTAGAACTCAGCCCTCTCCCTCAATTGTTCAAAGCAGCGCTATTCCCAATGTCACATTCCAGTGTCATTGAATAGTGGACAAAACGTCCACCACTTGAGCGCCTGTCAATCAGATTCAGTTCACGAGCATTTTCTTCCATGGCTTCGCGACTGTTCAAGTTTGACACTGGTCATGCTATCAACCAGTAGTGTTTACGGTTGTGTTACATCCATCTGGACCGAGATTCATTGAGTAAACCACTCGATTTACAATTGTCGGCTGCCATGAGAGACTTCGCCGCGTATTCAGGAATGTGCTCCGGTTCATCTGACTGGATATGTGTGACTTTTTCTGACTGCTCTGTTCGGTGTGTGACCGTCACAACCGGTCTGTTCAGCTGAGTTCACGATCTCCTTATCTGGCTCTCTCATATGCCCTTCCCTGACTGACCGGACCAGAAGTTCATGAACTTTCATGGCTGATCTGGCCGTTGTGTGGCCGCCTCTGTCTGGTCTCACCGGTGTATGATCCCAGCCGTTATTTCCAGTTTTGCATATGACTGTCCGTAGCTGTGCCCATGCTGATCTGCCAGCGTGTGGTCGTCTAAAGCCGTGTTCTCCTGTGGTCATTCCTAGAAACTTCTTCCTAAGGCGGTCCGCAGTCAGTTTGCCCCTCTGACCGGTCTCTAGCCGTGGCCAGCCGGCCGACTGTGTCGCGCTGCCCGGCGCTGTCGGCCGACCAGCCATCTGGCCGTATGGTGCGGGCGGGCCGGCCGGTGGGCGGTATCGAACGGTGCCCGGCGCGCCGGCCGTGCCGGCGCGGGCGCGGGTGGAGAGACAGAGCTGAAGGTGTGGGAGGATCCGCCCCCGTCCCCTCCCCCGCCGCCGGCGCCGGCCTCCACCTGGCCCCAGCCCACACACACAGACACAGACGGCCCGATGGACAGTGGGAGTGGGACCGGTGCGGGTCGCGGCAGCCACAAAGGATGTCCCACAGCGCTGAACATATGTAGCACTGATCCTGGGTAAAGGTGATGATGAAAGTGAAGCCACTGGTTTACCTTTCGCCAATTACACTATAGCAACAATTTGATGAGCTTCGTGACGTTGGACCATTAGTTTGGCTTCTTACGAAACAAGGCTGCCGCTTCATAGACGATGTTTGTTGCTATGGTCGGTAGCTGACTCAGCTTTGCTAACCATAAAGTCGTCCTTAACTACAATCCATTGCAGCTGACGGCACATGGCTTCACTCCTTGTTCACATACCAGCCAGCTTTTCAATTTCCACTCTTATCTTCTGATTTTCAGCTTTGAACTTACCGATCTGAAAGCAGAAACGATGCGGTAACTGGCCCGAAAAAAAGCGGAAAGCATCTGTAATGGTTGATACTTTCAGCAGATTAAGAATATCGCGAAGGAAAGCCCTCTGCGAGGGAAATCCGCCATCTCTGGCCACGAAAGGCCCTGTCGCCATAGCGGTGCCGGTCGTGAACTTGTCTGGGAATCGGCGTTCCTGTGTCTATTTTTGTCACTGTGTTTACCTGCGAACAGCTCGGCGGCAGTCCGATGCAGGCCGGACCCGATTTTCCGGCGCTGATTATGCCGGACCTTGGGCCGAACTTAGCGCTGTCGCCGTGCAGTTCACAGACGAGGCTGGAAAGCTGACCGCCCGCCGGAGCTGGGCTGGGGGAGACTGGTAGGGTCAGCGGGGCCAGTGGGGGTGGGTGGCGTTTAGGAATGCGGGATTGAGAATGAAGGAAGGCTGATTTGGACTCAGCATGAACTGATGTGGACAGAGGTGTGGTCTGGTACACAATGAAGGATGGGTTGATTCGCTTGTGTGTGGGTGGATAGGGACATAAGTGTGGGCTGATGGGGATAGCAGTTTTTGTTGGTGTGTACAAAATTGTGGGCTGATCTGAACAAAATTGAGGGCTGATGTGGACAGGCGTGTGGGATGCTACGAACAAAATGGGCTGCAACGGGCAAAAGTATGAGCCCATACCGGCAGAAATGTGTTTCGATACGGAGAGTGGTATGTGACGTATACGAAATAGAGCGGTTAATATGATCGGCAGAACTGAACTAGTGTGGGCCGCTTCAGAAAAGTGTGAGCTGATACCGGCAGAAGCGCAGAGCTGGTATGGATTCTGAACAGGGTTAGAGTCTGATGAGGTGATAACTGATAAGTACACGGATAGCGGTGCCGTGGGACTGGTGTGCAAAGCGGTGCGTGCGCGGCAGGGGGGGGGGGGAGGTGGGAGGGCTCATTCGTGCGCGGCGCGGGGGGGGGCTGCGGTCGTGTGCCGCGCCACCGCACCCTGCGATGTTTATTTACAAAAGGCGGCGGCGGCGGCGGCGGCGGTCGACCCCGCGAGATCCGCCACCGCCGACACGCCGAACCGTCGTGGTTCGGCCCCACCCGGCGGCCGCCCACGGGCTGGAAAATCCTGTCCAAGGACCCCAATCACACCAGATACCCCAATCACAACAGCTACCCCAATCACACCAGCTACCTACGGTAGTTCGGTATGATCCTTTGGAAATAGGTAGCCCTGTTCTGAGTTTCCGTCAGCGTACCTATTCTAAAAGCAAGTGTACATACAATTTAATGCGATTGTTACACGCACTAAATGAATCCATATTGGATAAGCATGGAATGCGTATTTATCTCGTTCAACATATGGTCCTGTTTTGATTTCACTAAAAAAAAAATCATGCAAAATGCATGCGCCACTTCCAGAGTTTGCGGTGTTTGCATTGTGCCACGGAGTCGGCTAACTTTGTGGTGGGTCTATACTCGTAATTAGTCATGAACTGGTACAGAAACGGTAGCCACGCCTCAATACCGCGTAGCCGCAGACGGGTGGCGGAACAGGGGGTGCGGGGCCGCTCAACAAGTCGCGAACTGGTACTGAGACGGTAGCCACACCTCTGTACCAGGTATCCGCAGATCGGGCAGATTTGTCAGCCGACTGTGACTGCCACGAACAGGCCCTGTGTGGGCCGGGCTCCGACGGTCTCCGGAACACTCCGGTGCCGATCGACCCCGCCAGCCTTGTCTGAGGAGCTGCTCCCCGTGACCCTTCGTCTCTGGGGCGCTCGGGATCCCGTCTCTGGAGCACTCCAGATCCCGTCTCTGGAGCGCTCGAGATCCCGTCTCTGAAGCGCTTGAGTTTTGTCCCGTTTCTCGGGGCGCTCGAGCCCAGTCCCGTCTTTGGGGGCGCTGGAGCCTTGTCCTCGAGTCTTGTGGGTGTTAGAGCCTTGTCCCGGCTGTGGGCTGTTCGAGGTCCCGCCTTTTGGGGCGCTCGAGCCTGGTCCCGTCTCTGGGGCACTTGAGCCTTGTTCCGTCTTTGGGGCCGCTCTAGCCTTGCAGCCACGCCCCCATTCTCAGCAGCGGCCTTTTACCTGCACTGCCCTGTTCTTTGGATGCTCTGGCAAACCTTTATATTACTGGAGCTACCC